AGAATAGGGGGATGAGTTTTGGTTTGATAGCTTGAGCTCTCTCTTTAGTCCAAGAACTTGATATATTCATAGTTACTAACTATGATATATTTCGGTAGTAAATGCATGTTCGCGAGCATGACTAACGCTGCGCTCCGTGATTTTTTAGGCCTTTTTGCGTGTTCTTCCAATTATTTATGTCACTGATAAATGGACGGCAATCCATCCTTTATTCGGCTTAATGTAACAGTACACTTGATGTTGTAGTGTCTTGTCAATTACAACCTGTTCCATTCCTATCGGCGCGTTTCGTGGAGAACCAATTAGCATTTTCCTAGACCTTTTAGTGGAAAAAGGGGCTTGTAAAATGTAAAATATTGATTTTTCTAAAGAAACGTATGGGAAAATAGAATCASTTCTGTTTTTGCATACTTTCCTTTAGAAGAAAATGATTTTATATTTGCTATCAATTTTGAAATATTTCGTGTTGAGACTATGTCTGGCTTACTTATTTTGATGGCCTCTTTCCATTTCTGAACATCATTTTGTCATTGTTGATTGATTAAAGGTATACGTAAGTATGGCCACGTGACCCCCAGCTGCAAATAATGTAACATTTCGTTCATTGCTCCGCTCTGTCCGCTTTATAATGAAAATAACCCGGGCAGCCAAATATATTGGAAAAAATATATATACCTTGTATCAGTGGTACCCTGATATTTATCTTGATCTAACTTTAAATCATCAAAAGCATCATTAATGAGCGAACATTATTTATTCACTGATTTATTAATACTCTTGAATGTTATTGCTCGTTTTAAATGTATGGGTTCCCTGTGTTCAAAAAAGGCGGGAAAATCTATGTACCCAAGATACAGCTCGCGCTTAGCGCGCATCATTCAGCAGATATATCTGGACATGATGGGGCTAGTGGACTGAGTTTATTTAGTTAAAATGCCGCCTAAAAAACGCCAAAAGACGAATAAATCAGGTAAGTATGAATTCCTTTTTAGGTATAGTTATCCTTTTATCCATTTTTCTTTGAATTTCTTKTAAATTTAACTCGCAACCGGGTAGTGAAAACCGAAGGATTTCTAACTTGGGTCGTTCGATCATGAGCTTTCATGATCGCGACTTGCAAACGCCTCGCAAACTAGTAGTGAAAGACTTGAAACTTGCATATCATTTTWCAAGGGTGTGCATTAATCGCTACTTTTAAATCTCTGTGAACCAATTAAACAAAAAAAAATTGCCAGATCTGCTTTGTTGTGAAGGGGTATTATATGTTGAGATGCCTAGAGTGGGGAGGGGAGGGATGGTACCGGGTAGTGGTTAGGGTCTTGCAAAGTGGGATGGCATGAAAACATCACTATATCATTAATTGCTCCACACACACACACAAACACAAAACAAAAGACTAAAACAAAATAACAAGAATCAAGCAAACTTACAAACAAAACAATATATATATTGTTTTGTGTATATATTAACAACAACAAAAAACAAAAAGCAGTCCAAGTTGGTCAATGATCTGACCCTCTAGAGTGTGTGAACTGGCTGTGAAATTTGTTGCTGACCTTCCTTTGATCTCCTTTTTTGGGAGTATGTACATGTTCTAGATACTCTGGATTTAGCCTTTATATAAATCGAAGGATATCACTGTCAATATCGTTATCTAGAAACGACAAAGGCAAAGCCAGCCAAGAAAGAGACTACAGTAAGTTTACATAAGAACAGCTAATAATATGATTATAAAACAATACATTCAATGCTCCAATAATGAAGAGAATTTCATTGGATTGAGGATAGTTAAACAATCCAGGATTTTGGAAGGCATATAGTGTTAAGTAAACTGTAATTGACTAGAACATTGAGGCCTTTTGCCTCATCACTGATTGTCGTATGAGTGCGAGCTCAGTAGTTGTAAAACACAGTTGTAGATGTAATAAAGAACGCCAGTCAGGTAAACTGTTCAACTCAGTTACAGTCTAAATACAAAGGTTAGAGTTTCCCTACCACTTAAAAAAACACACATAGATTAAATTGACTCGTGCATTTTGTTGTATCCTAGTCATTCATTTAGCTTTATAATTTATTTTTTAGACTTATTGTAGATGGTTGATGAAATCAGAGCCTGAGTCAAGAATAGAAAAAGGTGTTGATGTCAAGGTAAAAATGTTTTTCTGTGTTATTGCAATTTGCAGGAGTCTYGAAGGATGTCCTTATTACATTGTATGAAGCAGGCTGACCTGGTTAACTGGACTTCTTTTGTTTTTTTTGTCCCTTAGGGGAAACAAAACAATTATAAAGAAACCAGACTGTTCAACTAGGCCTTATATTATATGACAGTAGAGAGGGTGGCAATGACTGCATACTGTATTATTAATGCAGCGTAACTTGTTTTATTTATTACAACATAATATCTTGTTGTCAAAACATCAAATTCACCAAATTTGTTTAGTTTGGAATTGAAGATTTAAAGAAAGAACCAAATCAAACTGCCTGCTGGGATGGAGTTAGGAATTATCAAGTGAGTACATAAATATATGAGAGAAGCATTTAATTTTGGACTTTTGCTTATACAAGTAGAGATCACAGGGTTTAAAAAACAACAAGTATATACATGTGAAATTGTCTGTATGGAACAGAACAGCTACATGTATTATATTGAGCAGGTAACTTTTCAATCAGTATGTTTTTTAATTTAAGGCTCGTAATTTCATGCGTGAYCAGATGAAAGTTGGACAGTTAGCATTTTTCTACCATAGTAATTGTAAAAAYCCTGGAATTGCTGGAATCATTAAGGTATCAGTAGAAATAATTAGTTAAAAAGTCATGATTATTATGCACATACATGTACTTAAGTTCAATAGCTTTGTCACTCCAAAATGTTCATGAAGCTCAGAAAACATCATGGGATATTATAATAATTCCATTTACGTCATTTGGCAATTTGGTTTATTCACTAACTTTTACTAAATTCTTCAATACCAGTATTCATTATAAAAACAAAAAAAAGCTCTTGCAGCAAGTTGTTTTTTCTGGTAGTAAAATAATCCTACTGTAGCATCTGCACTTCCSKAAGTGTTTTATGAGTTRTTGTGAGACAAGTTGKGAGATTTTGCTTCCTGTATTACTGTACCTTAAATGAAGTGGCAGTGTACTAGCTATTTTGTATGTCAGATTGTGAGGGAAGGCTATGACGACCACACTCAGTTTGACAAGAAAGACCCACATTATGACCAGTAAGTCTACCGTGCCTGCAGTGGATWTTGAAATAATGTGATAATAAATGGATATGTTCTACAACTTTCAGAACTTCTTCCAAAGATAAACCCAAGTGGCAAATGGTAAGTGGCAATTAATGTCAAATAATTATTATGTTTTGTTTGAAAAATAAAAAAATATGTTTTAGTCAGTATAATATTGTGTATACATTACACAGTGTGTTTGTTATGACATTCTTTTAAATGAATATTCTTTCTATTCTAGGTGGATGTGCAGTTTGTTCGTATGATGAAGAGATTTATTAGTCTTTCTGAACTAAAGAAAATTCACCAGGTAATTGTGTTGTTATACAATCAACTTGTAGTTCAGATTAAATTGTGATGTTTTTAATTAAAAGCCTATTGCACACTGGTAGCATAACAAAACAATAACAAATTACAGCTACAGCACCACTATATAGAAAATACCAAAACCTTAAAATTTTTAATGCCATAATTTATCATGTGTGAACCAGGCTTTAGCTTTAAGTAGAGTAAGACTGCCACTGATGATAATCAATATTCTGACAATAATATACACAATAAAACAATCATTATAGGAACATAAAGGCTCTGGTAAAGAACTGAGAAATTTAGCGCTATTTACAAGCGCAAGACTGTCTGTACAGCCAGTCACTGAAGGTAAGATTATTGAACTGTTAGTGAGAGCAGATTTTTGTATGAGTGTACTATGGCAGATCACACAACAACCCTTACCCTCCCTCTTAATTTTTCAATATTTATTCACTGTTTCCCTTTTTCCATTCATCATTGGCCTGCATTGTCCATTCTGAAGAAGGGACTTGTGCCTACATGTATAGTCAGAAACTCAATGCAACTCATGAAGCAATTAAAAAAACAGTACATTCAAGAAGAAAGAACACTCTGAAATTAGCATAAATGTACCTGCTGAGTTTGATTCAGACAAAACATTACACAGTTGCAGGTGTCTAATTATAAACTTGAAAAAAAAATTATGGTGAGCTTATTGGAAGTATCCCTGCAAAGACCAAAAAACTGCTACTTGCTATTTAAGTTATCTTGAAACCAAACTCAGACTTGAAGATAACATTGTTGTTTTGTCTTTAACATGGTGTGGTTTCATTGTKATTAAGTAAACAGATAATTTTCATAGTTGTCCCCAGTCTCCCTTGAATTTCAGAATGGCCAATTATACACTCCAACCATAACTCTATTGGYTCATTACCACTAATGTGCCCTTTGTTGTAATTCAGAGGAATTTGATTACATTATAAGCCTTGAAGAAAAGCCCGAAGAACATTGATTACATGATTGTATATATCTCAGTTGCTAATGGTGTAATGCACAGATGGTAGCATTGCAAGATTGCTTGTCAGGTTTGATTAGKAATAAATTAAGAAAATGATTTTATTAATTTAATTGATTTAAATAATCATATTCTAGTCAGGTTAAACATACAACATGTAAACGGAGTGAGTATTGCTTTCAAACAATTATTAATAGTGTTRATAACTATGGAAATGATGTGCTGATATTAATTCTGTATTTTATGATAGTAATATTGATATTTTCGATAAATTTAAAAGTAAACTTCAGTTGCATATAGTACTGTAATGTAGCTATATTGGCAAATTGTTGCTCGTATTCTGTATCTTAAAACAGAGGTCCTTTTGAATATGGCATAATTGACAATAGCAATGATGTCAATTTGCTGAAAGTTCAAACTCTACTAATTCTATATTCTGATTTCATGAAKAATGTAATTACTATGCTACAGATAACAGATTGTACAGATAGAACTAAGGTTTAAAAAATAAGACCTGTTAAGTATGAGTGTTATAAGTACTTTTTATTATATTTAGAAATTTATGGTAATATTTTAAAATGTATATTGGGTTTAT